AATTCCCAGAATTCCTGAGGCAGCAATGGGAACGATGGCCCTTTAAAGACTTGGGGCTTCAATTCCCAGAATTCCTGAGGCAGCAATGGAAGAACAATGGCCCTTTGTTGACTTATGGACTTCAATTCCCAGAATTCCTGAGGCAGAAATGGGAACGATGGCCCTTTGTTGACTTATGGACTTCAATTCCCAGAATTCCTGAGGCAGCAATGGGAACGATGGCCCTTTAAAGACTTGGGACTTCAATTCCCAGAATTCCTGAGGCAGCAATGGAAGAACAATGGCCCTTTGTTGACTTATGGACTTCAATTCCCAGAATTCCTGAGGCAGCATCGACGGTCCTTTTTGTGACTTGTGGGCTTCAGCTCCCAGGATTCCTGAGCCACATTTATCTAAATACATAAATATCATTTAAATAGTTTTTATTCCGTTAAATCATAAGCGTTAAATAATATTTATTCCTATTCTGTTATCCTGTTAAATAGGGTTTTGGGGCTCGAGTAAGGGGCTAGATTAGAAGGCCTCTAAGCCCACTTCCACCTCGATATCCTGTTCAGAAAAATTCTCTTGAAACAAGCAATGCTTTTCAAAGTTGGAATTCGGTTTCAATTATTCAGATTTCGTTTAAAACAAAATTTTGCTCCCATAAAATTGGTCGGTTGCAAAAGGGCCTTGCCCTGCTCATGATTTTGCTGAGGTTCATTGTCTTCTCCTGCACCAAACGGGGTGACTTTTCCACACCCAGCAACTAACGTGATTACTCTTTTGTTGCTTGTGTGTTGTTGTTTGTGTGTGTGTGTGTAGTGTAAGCACATCCTCGCCATCTATCTGAGCCGAGCGACTGGAGCTTGCCAGGAGCAAAACATCTCTGACCAACAACTGTCCGCCCTGCTACTCCCCGAGGAGAAATGACGAACGGAAGGAAGTTGAGAAAAAGAAAGGAGAAAAATGTTGAGCGGTAACCACAGAACGAACGGCTGGAAGCTCTTTCGAGCTGAGCTCGTGTCTCTTCCCTCTATTCCGCCGGGTCCGGCTCCTGTTTTCTACTCAGCAATGATTGATGTCTGTCGTTTTTTTGTGTCCCGCTGGGGACAATTTTATGCAGCTCTGGACTTGGTGAGCCAAATCACAGGACAGGCCGCTGTTCGGAAACGATTAACCCTAAGAGTGGATTGCAGCAAACATCTTTAAAGCGTCTTTCCGCGAGCACAAAAATGACACCAGTAAATTGGGAGGACAATTTTGATTTTGGCAAGTACTTTATTTTAAAAAAGGAAGGAAGGATAAAAATAGGAAAGAAAGAGAGAGAAAGAGGAACGGAAGGAAGGAAGGAAGGAAGGAAGGAAGGAAGGAAGGAAGGAACCGCTTAGAGAGGAAAACACTGTGAAGTGGTATATAATTCTAAGTGCAATTGCGAAGGAAGGAAGGA